GATTCCAAAACCTTACCTTAATTATCTAAATTCGGCCAAATCAATATATTACAGTATTAATACAAACATAGAGTTGTGTTGATACACTCTAACCGACCAACACGATGAAAATCTCATTAATCACTTACCTAACTAGAATCCCATTTCACAGTAGATTAAAGTCACAACACGATTGTACTGTTAGCTGCCCAGGAGGTATTGTACGTGCGGTAGGTGGTGTTGATTCCCTACAATGTAAAAACTGCCATCTCACCGTTGACTGGCGTTTCTATTACTTCCCTGACAGGTGTAACATTGCCTTGAAGAACCCCACTTGCAGCCGAGCTGCGTACGTGCCTGTCTTGGAGAAGATTTGAAATGATTTACAAATGTTTTGAATAATAGTTGACTTTCGCAACAACGGGTGGTGCAACACTAGTTTGACGACGTTTTTGGATCTAAAATGCCATCGATTCAGGTTGGAAGGAACTTGTTGTGTCAGGAAATTAGAAGAAGAATAGGGCAACCCAAGAATTCACTTAAGCTACGGTGAAAAAAATATATCACACAATGAGAAGTCCAAAATATAAAATCTCAAAGCGCAAAAGTCCATATACATTTGTCACTCACGACTATACTCGATTTCGAGCCACTCGCTCGCAACAAACGTCCTATCACAAACATGAACTTCCAGCACGAGTTCTACAGGTATCACATCCATTAACATGTCATTCCTACATATTCCACATGCTGATCTGAAGACAATAGCTGCACTCACATTTCCCCGACATCTTGCTTTGACATTCCTCCCTAATAACATTCCTTAGTGAGATCAACCTTTCTAGATAGCCTTGTGAGATAGCCCGGCGTTGCTCAGTGGCAGAGGGCAGCTTCATTATCAGGAGTTGCTGATGAAGATATTTGGGCTTTTAAATGCCTTTAATATTGTAAAAAGTAAATACATATGAGTTTAGTTTGATTTGAAAACTGTTTGAAATTATATTTATAAGTTGCCTTCTAGACTTAGAACATCAGGTTTGTTAAAATCTATTGCTGAGTATTTAGTATACCCATGCTAAATACCATGCTTAATACAATCTTAACCGACTGCGCCATGGCGTGGTACCTACTTGTGTTTGATATAAGTAAAGTATCAAAGATCATTGGTGGATTTTAACATTAAGAAATAAATACATACAAATATGAGTAGTTCAAAATTAACATGAATGTAGGGCAGACATAGAATGGAGAGAGATCATCTTAATAGCTCTGTTACTTAATCAAATTAGCTGTTTTTTTAGTCTGTTGTCTTAGTCTTAGATTTATTGCAAGCCCAATGATCAAGAATGTACGGGTGCAATTTCGAAGTATAAAAAAGCTACTAAACATTTTTTTTTAGATTAGAACCACCTACCTAGATACTATTAAAGTGATTTATGCATTTCTCCAATACAGAGTAAGCCTAAATAAAGAGCGCCAACAAATGTTATTAACTTTTTGAATGAATAATTTTTAATCTTAGTTTTTTTAATTTGGAATGCCTAGTACGATTTTGTTAGCACACACACATACAACAGCTAACCAAGGAATGCTTATTTACCAGTGCAATTACTTTCAATGGCAATCTATTTTGATCGACCACTACATTAGACCTAGTTGGGGCTAAAACAATCATTCCTATCTGTGTATGACCCATGCAACCCCTAACATCTCTTGTTCAAATGTTAACTCCCAACCAACGAGTCCAAATTTTGAATCACACTAACCAAACTCCACCTTTACCCATTACCAAAACCCAACAGCACATTTTCGCCTTTGCCTCGCAGCTTCCGAATTAATAGCTGATTAACAAGGCCCCGGCCTGGAGCGGTGGGCCAAATACCAGGTATTTACATACGTACCGCCCACATCGTGAAACAACGGCAATGTATGGTGGCCCATGGGGCTATCGTGCCTCCCGCACCCTACCCACAATGTGTATAGCCTTCGAAAAATATCGCCAAGTCGAGTCACAACTTACCAGCTAGACGGGTGCTCCCGTTTAGATTTTTATTTGGTTCACTTTAATGGTGCAGTTGCAATGTGGACTAGCAATTTGTCTTAATGGTTCAGGAGTTGATGGTACATGTAGTAGTTTTTGGGGTTGATTTTGGTAAAGTTTGATATGTTGGTGATATTTTTATCAATCACTGTGTTCATGGGTAAATTACCTGTAGAATGGTGGTACTTTGGTTAAAGGTTTACATTAATAAGTGAATTTAGAATTATGAATTCTGACTTTGACTTACTAGTATTTTTTCAATAATAGGATTTACTTTTGGTTAAAATAGTAAAATCGTTCATTTACTTAATACATCGGTTCTTTTCTGTTTGATTAATGTATTGTATTTTAATCTGGTAAAAGTAGTTTATAGGACTAGCATGTCTTTGTTGGATTAAACAATGTAACAATATTTAGATTGGACTTGAAATTAGCATAATTTTGACGGTTGGGTACTTTATCGACCATTCTGTAAAAGTAGTCCACTATTTCGCTTATCTGTGTTTTAATTTTGGGTGAAATTTCTTTACCATTTCTAGTAATGAATATACTGTATATTACTGTTAATTAAGCTTTTGGTAAACAGTTTTATTTTATGGGTTTTTTTTATTTCACTTGTCCTAATAATTTATGGATTTATCATAGATTTGAATTTTAAATAAAAATTTTACGTCCAACGTGGGAAGGGGTTAGCCCGGTCCATTAAAAGCATTAAATGCCACTGGCATAGGGGAAAAAAAATTGTTTAACTAAATAAATGTTAAGAATTAACAGGAGGATTAAGAATATAATAATACGGTATGGTTGTAAGGGTAAGGCTGGCCATCTACTTTGAGCATGATATTTCAGACCTGGATACCCATGTTCAATTATCACTAATAACCAATAGTCTTGAGCTATGTGATCTGACTACCTACTAAATAGTGGTGTCGTACTTACCTAAATATGTAGGTTTATCTGTTCAAAACTTTACAAAGGTCTCTAAAGCTAGAAGAAGTGTTGTTAGACATGTACCACTCATAAAGCAACAGCTTTTTGTTTTAATATAGTCATACCCCACACAACACAGCCTATTGAAGTTTACTATGTAGAGATCATAATGATCAAAGAGCTCGGTCCGCGGGCACGGTTGTAAAACAGTTATAATATTTACATATTCTACACCCACACTACTCACACACACGTACACGTACATACGCACACACACAGATGTGCCTCGAGCGGTTGAACCACAGCAAGGTACGCGGTTGGAGTTGCCTAACCGCTGCTCGGATACATATTCAACAGTAGGTCGGTGATATTTACCTATAGAAAGGAGGAAGGCCTTTTAAATTATATATTAGTAGCTCTACCGTGCTTGGCAACGACCGATCATATCAGAATAAAAGTAACAGTTTCCCAAAGCTTCCCAAAACAGTTGTAGCCTGTTATACTAATAACAGGCTAATAACCTGTACTAATAGAGTAACGTAGTTTCAACAATCAATAATTGTGGGTCAAAAGAACAAATATAAGCACCTTTAGTTCTTCAAAATATGTACTCCTCGTGTTATCCTGTTAATTATTTAAGAGATTATGGGGGAAAGTTTCTATCAACATGATGTAAAACATAGTAACTGACAATCTAACCAGAATAAAACTAATGATGAGTTATTTAGACAAAGAAGATAACTTCAAACTCTACCATTCGTTTGATATTGTGCAATGTTTGGAATCTTAGAACCATAAACCAATAAAAGTTAAACATTAGACGGTTTCTTCTTTGACATAAATAAGTACACGTTAGACGTCCAGGAATTTTTACTGGCATGAGTATGTCTATGTGTTAACAGGGTTCAAAATGTATGATCCAGATCATTCAGCTCTGTAGTTATCTCCAGTAGAATGCTTTCTTGACTAGTATTACTTGGAAAAATAACGCAGTTATACATAAACTACCTCTTCTTAATATAACAGATAAAAGATAGAGTTAACATAAACAGATTTTAAACCTACCCTTACTGGCGGAAACTAAAAGGCGTAAAAACGATATCGCTAAACAACATTTCTTGCTCAATCTACATTCCCTCCAAAAATTAGCTCCAGGCAGGTTATGAACACTTGCAGATTGCATCATTGCTTCCCGCCTTGCCGCCAACAGACACATGTTCTGTTGCCTTCCAGCTGGCATTTCTATTACTTCTACGGCAGGTTTCTTATTACAACCAATTACTCATATGAAACATTTCAAGATAGAAATATACCATCTCCGACCTAGGCTTCTTGTTATGGCTTTTGATTGCTACTCAATTCGAAATTGCAATTCTCAAGTTGTTTTGCATGGTTGGTTTTTGTAATTGGTCTTAAATTTGGCATGTAATTAATTTTATATTCAGCAATGTGTCATCGATGATTAAATCCATATATCTTATTGAGGATTCGTTCTGGTACGGGGAATTTAATTAATTTTCTATTCAACAGTGTGTTTTTGTTGTAATATGAGATACTAGGGATCACTGTGCTATATAAAATGTAAGATTTCTCAATAAATGGGCCTAATTTCAGTTTACTTATCGGATCAGACTTATCATATGTATACAACATATACATAGACTTATCGTATTTATTATACATTTTGATTTATGTAATGATTACGTTCAGGTATGGTTATTTAACACGATGCAACTAATTAACATGACCTGCACTGCAAAAAAAACAACGAAGCTTAAAATTCGCTGTTAAATTTTACAATTTTACTGGTTAAGAATTTGCACTCTGAGTGTTTGCACCAAGTACCACAATTTACGTCAAACATCGTTGTATCATTTAATATTTGATCATTCAAAACCATACCTAGTTGTTACTCTTTGGTTTTGGTCAAATTATCCTGACAAAAAGAGAAAGTCTAAACTAAGCTAAAAAAACACAGTCTTATTCTAAACAAAACAGTCTTATTCTATAGCAGTAAGTTAAAAATGTTAACAATATCTTCCTTTTTCAGGAAATCTTGTCTCGACTTTTTCAACTTTTTGACCAGGACCGAGACAACCAATTGGTGCAGGAGGAATGGATCGAATTCCTGAAAGAACGACTTACGTAAGTGAAATTACATTTAAAAGATATTTTATTTAAGTTTATCATTAAAAATGACTTTACTTTTACTTATACCATAGGCAAAAATAATTAAATATAGACCGTCAGCCGTGCTGCGATTAGCAAAGGTCCTGGCGACCACCGTTACGAGCGCCTTGGCCGTAACTACACGGCGTTCCCAGCGGTGGACGCCAGAACCTATGATAACTGCAGCACAGCTGTCGGTCTATATTTAATTCTTTTTGTCTATGCTTATACGAACCAAAGAGAATGAACTTATTTCAGCATTATAACACAATCTATATTCAAGTTATAGGTCCACTACTTCAAGCATTGCCAATAAATAACTTAAAATAATCTGAAATTTTTGTAATCAATTTACAACTAATGTATGTCATTACCCCCATAAAAATGGTCGATCAAAAAACAATTCCATCCAATAATGGTCGTGAAAAACAGTATTAAGTACTAACCTTGACTGTCACTCTGATTTTGACCCCGGTGGGAGCGAGGGTCAGGGTTTCAGTTTCAACAATGAGCTACTGTCTAATATAATGAATATTACGGCATGAGTAATATGAGGCTTGGTCGGGCTAGTGGTTAGAGATTGGAGACTTCTGTCATGTAGGCTGTGATTGAGATTATGTGATCGGCGGGACAGTTTTCTACGTGATAGAATGACGAGACAGTTCCAAATCCATCTAAGTTGTAGTAAAATGTCGAGATGAAAGATATTTAATGTACTTCAATGTAATAAACTATCAAAATACAATTTACAAATTTTGCTCATTCCAAATACTAGTTTTTGGACATGAATATAGACTTATAATTTTGTATTGAGTTTCTTGTTTGGTCTCTGTGTTTAAAAAAACTAAATGGAAAACCAAATAAACCGAAATACCACATTCGCAGCTTCAACAAATCATAAAAAGTACACTTAAACCACGCAAACATTCCCAAAGCACAACAAGCATCACTCATCAGCCCAAACAAGTGCTTGGAGCACACAATGTGCGGTGTATTGATGTTTTAATTAGTTTATCTATCCTTTACACTTTTAATTAGTGAGGACAATGAGGGCTTATAACTTCCATTATCGACTACCGTCTACTACTAGCCTGAAGCGCCGGTATCTACCAGCCACCATGGAGGTAATTAAAGCTTAGAACACATTATAGACCTTTATCAGTGTCTTATACGGTATTGCTATGATCTTTAATAGTTGATGTAGTTCGTGTAGAATTTTCTTTATAGTGTCACGTAGATGAGCCAATTTATTTGATGTATACTTACTCAATTTTAAGGTTACAACACGCTATATAGTTTACATTAAGTGGTACTTTAAGTTTCGCTAGGTCAAAAAGTGTCGTACTCGATAGATAAATCGGTGATTTATCTGATGGCTCAATTCATCATGTTAATTTGTATTATAAATATGACCAAAACGTTAACTTGGGAATTGAAATATTATATGAAACACTTTACTCTGGGACACTCAAAAATATATACTGGAAAATTATAAAGTAACATTTGAGATATTTAATTTAATTTTTAAAAGAGGACACTTTTACAACCTGGCTAAAGAAACAGCTAACGTTAGTCAGTTAACAAAGTAGTCAACAAAGCTACACAAGGCATAATGCTACATTCTACATTCATACAAAATTAGGCGTATTTAAATTCAAAATGGTAGATTAATGTTGAATCTGGCAAGATGCCTTGTGTAGCTTTGATGCAGACCATTTCCTAAAAAATCCTATGACAGTAATAAGCCAGCAAATAGTACATTTTACCTTTTTTAAAGCTTTAAACCATCTTTACGCAAGGCTAATTTTTTATACATGTGGTTCAAAAGACATCTAAAACACTAAATTCATAATATAGCATTTTACGACTTTTAAGCTGTCTTTCACTTAAGTCCAACGCTTAGTGTTGCGCGTAATAAGAAAAAGTTGAAGTTTATTTCATAATTTCGACGTTTGAGTGCCTTGAGGACGAATTTCTTATTCTCTATTACTGATCAGAGTTTCTCCCGTATTCTAGATAGATTGAACTGTTTGTGTCTTACTGTTTGGCTATATTAGCCTACCAGGGGATGGAATATTCTCTACAAATAGATTTTTTTAGGTAATTTCAACGTTTTATAAATAATAATAATTAAACAGTAGTACCTATGCAAACCTTTCCATACATCAAGTGAGTCTTCAAGTGATCACTGAGGGCTGTACATTTGTAAGTATCTTTCGTATACCGTAAATTAGAACACCAAAGGAAGAAGAACTACTACAAACGGGACGACTGTAAACATCTTTGAATTACCGCCAATTTTTACTCCGGTTACGACTTAATCACGTATTCTGGAAACAGTCAATTGCTCTCATTAACAGCAAGCTTTAAAAGTCGACTGAATCGCTTTAAACCGGCGACGATAGTTAAATACAGGACGTCCGTGGAAGGCAATAATCGCGGAGAAATCGACACAAACGTGTAGCAATAAATAACCTAAGGATAATCACTATCTTGGACAAATTTAAAATGGTAATTTTGTGAACGGCACACCAGCGTTATTCTATCCGCCATAAAACTTCTTGATGTCTATCGTTTTGGCAACAACTTAATAAAGGAGGCCTTGGGCCTTGGCATAATGGTTAAGGGCCATTTAGGTGGGTATCTGATCCGATTTAGTGATAAGAAGAATTATTTTCCCGTAATGTTTTTGGTTACCCCGAAGCTCCTCGTTTGAAATTCCATGTTTGTCTTTGTGCTTTGTTGGGGATTGCGAGATGAGATATGGAGTTTGTTTTGATATGGTTTCGTTTTGGTTAGTGAAATATATTTTCAACAGAGCGTTTAAATATTTAATCGTTATTCACCGAGAGTGTTTAAACCATCGCTTACCTCATACAATCTGTTAATGATAAGACCAGTATCCACTAGAAACACTTAAAGAATTGTTAAACATCAAAAGTATAACTGACCAAGTTTATTAAAATACACGTTTCCTAGTAAAATATTATTATAAGTTCGTATGTGGTGCATACGTATTAATTTTAGCAAACCATTTTCTTATGTTTATTATTTAATCTAATTAAACTCGACTTTAAATTATTAAGTGAATCCAAATTAATGTTTCACAATTAAACATTCTACAATATTAGCATTTACTGAAAGACACAATTTATCTCTGGTTTCCTAACATAAACCCATCTTTTTACGGAATAAAATTGTATTTAATATTATATTCTTGTATTTAATATTATATTCGGTCGTCAGTTTTCAAGCCGTGCACGTGCTCTAAATGTTTTCGTGTATTCGTGTTTTCGTGTATACGTTCCTGTACATATATGTGTATTATTTATTCACCCCATGACGCAATGCAAATGAAGAAAACTCGTGTTAAATGTGACAAGATTATAGTTTAGTGTACCACTACGCACCTGACGATGGAGTCATCTCCGAAACGGCCGTAGTGGAATATTACTCCTGATTGCGTTGACGGTAAGAACTTAGATATTATTATTGTATTTAATAACAAAATATTTCAAATAACAAAATATTTAATAACAAAAGAGTATTAACCTAAACAATAAAACTACCTTAACCAGTTTATTTAGTTGTTGAAAATATTCAATTAAGCTGAATTCTTCCATTTCGTTTACCTCGATAAGCTGATCAATTTGATTTAAGACCGCCTGAATTTTCGATCAGCCTCAGATTGTAACGAGAAGGTTGATAGTTACTTCAATCTATTTTCTGTTGTAATAAACACAGCCTTCGTATACGTGCCAATAGCTTTGGTCAACTTTGGCATTTGACGTTTCATCATCACTAGCTGTTATGATATTTCTTGATTTCGCACCAAGATTTCGATCCATAATGTAGATGTGGTGTAGAGTGTCAAAATATGAATCACAACGGTTCAATGCAACGGTTATTTGAAGTGGATTATGAAGCATCAACATTCTTAGCATAGGTCAGTTTTGATTTCCATTATTTAACACTTATCGTGTAGAATATCTTTGCAGATTTTATTTCTTAGGAACCACATTTACATGATTAGTTTTAACAAATACTTGAACATATATGTGATATACAACCTTACAAAGAAAGAAGGTAGATTACTCTTAAAATTAGTAACATACATTGAATGTTCTTTCCGTTCGCATTGAATAGGTTATGTTAGGGTATAATATATCTGGTTAGGTTAAATACAATGGGTTAGCAATTTTTTTTCAATAGTATTAAATATTCTTTACTTGTCAACGTCTTAACTATGGCAATTATATTACATCATTTTACATAGATAACAAGTTAATAGCAGTTGTTTGTAAATGAGCCAACACTCATGAATAAGATAGGTTAGGTTAGGTCTTACCTATTTTTAGTAAAATAACATAAAAGATTTTTTTCTCAACCTATCGCAAGTACATAAAATATAAGGGTATTTACCGAACTATAAAACATGTTATAAAAAGTCGCTAAAGCTTCAAGGTGGTGTTGATTCCACTTAGGATGATCTAGGACTTTGTCTTCTTCATTAACAGGTGACATAATTTTAAAATATTCTCTTCCACTGCCAGTTTGATCCTATCTGAATAATTTAAATATAATAAAACAACTCTATATAGTGGCAGAAAAACCGAGTATAACCTTTCTTTTCCAAATACTAATAGCCGTACCGTTGGCTCAACGAACTATTAAAGACCAATTATAAAGCACGATTACATGAGTGCATTAATATTAAAACGAACCACTATAACCATTATAACCAGATCCTCTCTTTAAGCTTATCTGTTGAATGGTCGGGTTTCAATGCGGACCTACATACCGAAGGTTATTGAGGCATAAACTCAAAGATAGAGATACAATATTGCAGAACAAGATGCATTGTATGCCTATGTTTTAAATGATGATTGCTAGTAATAAATATACAATACATTCTCCACAGATACTCGTGTTGTATCAAAGTAATCTAGTATACCGTTTCTACGTGGACCAGATCA